TATAAAGAATATCTCTTTGGATTTGAGACTTTAGTCTTTGCAACTTTACAGATTTCTTTATGCACCAAGAGCTTGTAACACTCCAAAGAGAAATTAAAAACTGAAATCGCATCATATGACCCCTTTAAATTCCAGCTTTAGAGTTAAACGACATGAGCACGGTGATGTCGCAGCTTGTCGAGTCTCAGATGCGCATAAAGTTTTGTCAAACAAACATCGTGGCGTCACACTGTCATGGCGGCGAGCGGCTCGGCTGTGTCGGTTTTAACTCCGAATGGAAGAAGACAGACTGTCAAAGTGTCTGCAAACACACCTTTACTACAGGTACGAGCTCACACACTCGTGTTTATTCCCGCATCTGATCGCGGAGGCTGTGTGTGTGTTTAGCTTCTGACTCAGCCGAACTGGAGAGATCCCTAACTAGACAGCATGTGTGGGCAACACGGGGGCATTACAAGTGCTACATGTGTAACAGGCTGCTATCTGGAGTGTGTATTGCGCGTGCCACAGTTTTGGCGCATTCCGAACTAGTAAACTCACTACCTAGTGCACTAGACAGGCCAGATTATTAGGGGTTGAGACACATCTGGTGCTGTTTTTTTATTTATTAAATAAACAGGTTAAAATGAATATTAAATAATGAGTTTTATATTTATAATAATGTGTTAGACTACTGTTTTTCAGACGAATATCTAGAACCATGGTATTGAGGTGCTGTATGTGTGGTTTAACTGTGGTTATCATGATCTAGAACATGTTTAATCTTGCAGGTTCTTGAGGATGTGTGTAAGAAACACGGCTTTAATCCAGAAGAACACGGACTCAAGTGAGTGTAACCTGAAACAATACATTCATACATCATTTATTATCATATACAATTGTACATAATATATAATAAATAATAATATAATTATGTAATGTGTATCAATTAATATATATATATATATATATATATATATATATATATATATATATATATATATATATATATATATATATATAT